ACCTAAATTCAAGTATTCTTATATTCCTCATCTAATATTATATAGCATAAGGTACATAATAGCAAGTGAGAAAGGACAGAATAAATATACAAAGAAAAAACTCTGAAGACTACAAAAATACCCAACCTTTGACTAATAATACTAGGTGAGAAAGTGTTTAATAAAATACTTCTACATATCTAAAGAAAATGAGGACAGAAAGATAGAGATTATAAAATAGGGCAAAATTTACATTACAGCCTTAAGTTTAAGATTCCAAAGTCAGTGTTTCATATTTATTTCATATTTCATACTTATTTATGAAAAATAGGTAAAATTTGAAGTATTTCTTTTGCTGAAAGGGGGGGCTAAAAGGTTTCACATACCTTATTCAAAGCAATTAGTAGAAATTTCTATTAACCTACCTGTTGTTGTTGTTCCGACAATTTCGACAGTTAATGCACTCCAATGGGTCACACTCAGGTACTGCTTTGTGAATCCCACCACCCTTGTTGGAAGGAAGTTTACGGAAAAATGTAAGAAATAGCCTCAAAGGTCCACAGATAAGTACTCAAAAAACTGTAAATCTAAAAGCCATAATAATACATGGATGCATTCTATATGGTATAGCAAGTTCCTGAATAATGTTATGCTAATTATATTTACCTGTATTCACAAATGAGTTCTGCAGAGCTTTGTATATTAACACAGTATTTAAAAAAAATTAGTTACTATGTTTTTCCATGTATTTTAATACTGGAAAAAGGCAAATACATGGAGAAGTTTATTCATTTCCCTTCAATATTTCAAACTTAATGGCTCCAAAATACACTTAATAGTCATTTTTACTCTCTTACTAGTCACGGGGGAACTTTATGTGATACCAGATGGAGAAACAGGGTGTAAAGTCTGTGTGAATGATGTCACAAGATAAACCCATCTTCATTTTCCTGTAATTATTTCAATTAGATCTGTTCATATGTTGTATTTTTACAGATGCAGTCTATTTCTAGCCAGCAATGACCTGGAGGGGAGTATTAACATTTTCTTATTGCTTTTGGCGGTAACTGCCCAGCAATTAAGAAAAATGCCCAGATTAACACATACCTCATTGTAAAATGTTCACCTGACATTCACAGTGGCAAGACTTATCCGAAAATGAAACTAAAAATTAAACTAGTTTTATGACCAGAGCCAGACTCCGGTTTTCCAATTAAAAATAACAGAATCAGAACTGATAAAGGATGGAGGAGGCTGTTATACTGCACTCAGATCCAAAGCTTGAAGGCTGGGAAAAAGAACACTTTTTATTCATCTTTTACAACAGCCAGTATCTAAGCAAATCAAAAGTACTGAATATGTCTCTCAATATTGCTGATCCAACTAGCAAAGAAAATACAGTTGGAAAGAACACTTCTACACTATGCTCAGTCGATGCAAGAAAACCAACAAGTTCAGAACACAGAGTTAGCCACTGGCATGAATGATGTAGGTTTTTTAACCACTAAGAAAAAGTTAATTCAATGATTTAATAACCACTTTCTCACATTCATCGAATTTAAGAATCATCTCAAGAACAAGTTTGAGGCATTGAACATCAATGATCAAAGACCAGAGGAATTGTGGGAGTACATAAAAGATATCATCCATAAAGAGAGTAAAATATCATTACAAAGACAGAGGAGAAAAAAACACCCCAAAATAGATGTCAGACAACACTTGAAAAATTGCTTCAGAGTGCTGAGAAGCCAAAATAAAAGGAAGAGATGGCAAAGTGTAAAAAGCTGAACAGAAGATTTCAAAGGGCAGTTCAAGAACAAAGCAAAATATGATCAAATACAAAGTACACAGCGCTGGAGTCAGTAAATAAAAAGGGAAGAACTCTCAAGCTTAAAGAAATGAAAATAAAACTCAAGCCTTGAGTTGCAACAAAGAGAGATGCTATGGGCAAAATCTTGAACAATCCAGGAAGCATGATAAGAAGATAGAAGGAATACATGGAATCACTATACCAAAAGCAGATGAATCACGAAGCAGATGAACAAGAGCTAATGCTAATGAAGAATAGATTTCAAGCTGCAATGAAGACAATGGCAAAAAATGAGGCCCTAGGAATTAACACATTTTAAGTAACAGATGCAGTCCTGGATATGCTTATCAGTCTATGTCAGAAAATCTGGAGATCTGCCTGGCAGACTGACTGTTTAAGATCCATATTTGTATGCAATCCCAAGAGAGGTGAACCAACTGAATGTGGAAATTATTAAACAATATAATTAATGTCTCGTGGAAAAAAAAATTGCTGAAGATCATCTAAAACCAGCTAGAACAGTACATTGACAAGAACTTCCAGAAGCTCAAGATGGGTTTAGAAGAAGCCATGACACCAGGGATAGCACTGTAGATGTCAGATCAATCCGGGCTGAAAGCAGAGCATATGAGAAGAATATCTATTTTATTGACTAAGCAAAGACATCTGACTGAAGAACGGGAATCCTAGAATATTTCATTGTGCTCATGAGAAATCTATACCTTACATCAAGAAGATATTGTCTGAGCAGAGCAATGGAAGGGAAGATTTAAAATGAGGAAGGGTGTACTTCAGGGATGTGTCCTTACCCACTAGGCTACCAGAGCTCTTTTCCCATACTTATGCGATGTGTATGCTGAGCAAATAATTTGTGAAGCTGGACTCTACGAAGAAGAATGTGGAATTAGGATCTGAGAAAGACTCTCAACATTATACAGATGATACAACTTTGCTTGCTCAAACTGAGGAGTATATGAAATATTTGCTGCAGAAGACTAAGGATACAGCCTTCAATATGGATTACATCTCAACATCAAGAAAACAAAGGTCCTCAAATTCCACTTGATCTGATTCAGACCACTGGTCAAAATATTTAATACACAAGTCTTTTTCCTTTTGATAGTTTCCTTCTGATGGCCTCTTTCTGGAGACAATCACAGACGATGGCCCATTACTTATCTGCCAAAGAGTATTTTTCTTTGGGGGCTCATCTTCATTTTGATCCTCCATAACTGAAGTACTCTGGAAAATATTTTGTACTTCAGATCTACCAATCCAGAATGAATGGGGGCATTCCCTTTCAGACTAGTCTGAGAAAAGACAGCAGTCAAGCATCTTCCAGGAGTCTTTCCATTTACTGTATCCAGCTTTCTTCAACAAAATCCGAAACATGCACTTCGGTAACATAAGCTCGATGGTCTTGTCCTCAATTCTTATTTCACGAATGTGTCATTATCAGCATGGACATATCAACTCTTACTTGAAGCCTATGTTGCAGCGGGACTTTATTACCACTTTACCAGAGCAAGGCTTAGATCATATAGCAGAAAACATTCTTTCCTACCTGGATGCCAGGTCTCTGTGTGCAGTAGAGCTGGTATGTAAAGAATGGCAACGAGTTATCTCAGAGGGAATGCTTTGGAAGAAACTGACTGAACGAATGGTACGCACTGATCCTCTATGGAAAGGACTTTCAGAAAGAAGAGGGTGGGATCAGTACCTGTTTAAAAACAGACCCACAGATGGCCCTCCTAATTCATTTTATAGGTCATTATACCCAAAGATTATCCAGGATATAGAGACTATAGAATCTAACTGGCGGTGTGGAAGACACAACTTGCAGAGGATTCAGTGCCGCTCTGAAAATAGTAAAGGTGTCTACTATTTACAGTATGATGATGAAAAAATTATCCGTGGCCTGAGAGATAATTCTATTAAGATTTGGGATAAAACCAGCTTGGAATGTTTGGAAGAGTTAACAGGACACACTGGCTCTGTCCTTTGTCTCCAGTATGATGAACGTGTCATTGTAACTGGCTCTTCAGACTCTACAGTGAGAGTCTGGGATGTGAACACGGGGGAAGTTCTGAACACGCTGATCCATCACAACGAGGCTGTGCTGCACTTGCGCTTTAGCAATGGACTGATGGTGACCTGTTCCAAGGACCGCTCCATTGCTGTGTGGGACATGGCATCTGCCACTGATATCACTTTACGCCGTGTCCTGGTTGGTCACCGAGCTGCTGTCAATGTAGTAGATTTTGATGATAAGTACATTGTGTCAGCCTCTGGAGACAGGACCATCAAAGTCTGGAGCACAAGTACCTGTGCATTTGTTCGCACTCTGAATGGGCACAAGCGTGGCATTGCCTGCCTACAGTATCGGGATCGCCTGGTTGTTAGTGGGTAGTCGGATAATACTATTAGGTTGTGGGATATTGAATGTGGCGCCTGTTTAAGAGTCCTAGAAGGACATGAAGAATTGTTCTGCTGCATCCGGTTTGATAACAAGCGAATTGTCAGTGGAGCTAACGATGGGAAAATTAAAGTTTGGGACTTGCAACCTACTCTTGACCCTCGAGCCCCAGCAAGCACATTATGTCTACGCACATTGGTGGAACATTCTGGATGTGTGTTCCGGCTACAGTTTGATGAATTTCAGATCATCAGCAGCTCCCATGATGACACTATTTTGATTTGGGATGTCTTAAATGTGCCTCCCAGTGCCCAGAATGAGACCCATTCTCCCTCCAGAACATACACTTACATCTCCAGATAACAGTCTGCACTTTTACCCATTTCAGGGTTTCTAGTCTTGAAGTACTGGCTACATGGCTACCAGATGCCCAAGAAAGTTCATTCACAGCTGAGTTATGAAGCTGGAATTGGTTCTAGATGCTGGGTAGATGCAAAGCAGCCTAACTCTTCAAGTACCAACATTTCTCACTGACTCTCGGCCTCTACTTTTGAGAAGGATACCTTAGGCTCACTGACTTCGAGTAGAGCAGAAGTTCATTTTCCTGCCCTATCAATGAAAAAATCCAGTGCTTCAAATGTAAATTGTTGATATGAAAGGAGCATACAGTCTGTTTTACAGAAGTATATCCACCGTCAAGAGAAGACTTGGGGCCTCTAATTTATATTGCTTTGCACTTTGGTCCGATAACAAATAACAGCATTCTTTTTTGGTGAAATTTTGGGTGCCAAACACCTACCCAGAATGCCCAGGGCTTTCCTTTTCAGAAGTCAGCATTCTCCTGACCGCCTGCCCAAGTCATTACAAATTCTGACTTGTATTAGGAGCATGTTGGACAAGAAAACAATCTCTCTGGATTGTTTTAGTAATATTTTTTGGATTACACTTTATTTCTGAACCCGTTTCTTTTAATTTAAAGAACTATAAGCCAGGTTATATGACCTCCCAATAGGTAATATAACTCCTTTATTTTAACTGCTCTGTGTATCATCTCCTGATATTTGGTAGAGTAACACCTTTACATGTGTGCTTGCCTCCTAATTTAAAATACTGTATCCGCATGTAGATATAATGTACCTAACAGTTTAACCTCAGAGTGGCTGGAGTCAGGACCCCCTGTGACTGAGACACTAATCAGAGTGTGTTTGTATTTAGCCATGGGCTGGGCTTGATAACCTGATGCCAGGGTCACCGTGAACCCTTCCTGCAGTATTCATAAAGT